TAACAACGAAGATATTAGATGGTATCTGCATGTTAACAACGAAGATATTAGATGGTATCTACATAGATATAAGAAGATGTGGTATGAGTGCCAATGAGACAACTCTCCACCCAAGTCACAATTTGTAAAAGTAAACCATTATAGGTCAAAGTACGGCCTTCAACACGGAGCCTTGGCTCACACCAAACAGCAAGCTATAAAGGGTCCCAAAAATGACTAGTGTTGAACCATTCAAACAGGAAAACCAACGGTCTAATCTATATAAAAAACGAGAAACGAGAAACACTTATGAACCACATCAACAAACGACAACACTGAACATCAGGTTCCTGACTTAGGACAGGTGCAAACAAATGCAGCGGGTTTAAACGTTTTAATAGGCACCAACCTTCACCCTACATGAAACAATAGTGTAACATCACAACATAGAAAGACACACTATAAAATATCAATTGAAATGGCTTAACTCAATCAAAAGACATATCAACAAAAACAAGTGAACATACACTGAACGAATACATTGATCTATGACACAATGTAAATACAAAATTAATTAAACAAGGGGGTTAGATGTAAAACAATATCAAAAACACAACCATAACCTTGGACAAAATGCCGCCAAATAAAATAACGTACACAGGTAAATAAAAATAATTTTGTTGTAAGGTACATGTTAACAACGAAGATATTAGATGGTATATGCATGTTAACAACGAAGGTATTAGATGGTATCTACATGTTAACAACGAAGATATTAGATGGTATCTGCATGTAAACAACGGAAACATTAGATGGTATCTGTGTTAACAACGAAAATATTAGATGGTATCTGCATGTTAACAACGAAGGTATTAGATGGTATCTACATGTTAACAACGAAGATATTAGATGGTATCTGCATGTAAACAACGGAAATATAAGATGGTATCTGTGTTAACAACGAAGATATAAGATGGAATTTACATGTTAACAACCAAGATATTAGATGGTATATACATGTTATTCTAATATGACGTACTTCAAACGCTTTGAGGGGCCTCGGTGGCCGAGTGGTCTAAGCAGTTACTACTGTAATCACTAGCCAGTAAACACTGATGTTGTGAGTTTGAACCCCGCTCGTGCGGGTGCACTCGACTCCAATCTTAATTGACTAGGATTGTCAGTTTTCCTATCGAAGGTCGGTGGTTTTCTCCGGGCACTCCGGCTTCCTCCACCAATACAAACTGGCCGCCACGAAATAGCCCAAAAGCGGTGCTTAAAAGTGGCGTTAAAACACCAAAAATCAAAAAAATCAAAATCAATCAAACGCTTTGAGTAAACACCCGTGGTAAAATTCGAATACATTCATTTATTATACTTCATGTTAAAATGCCAGATTTTGATTGGTTAATACGAGGGAAACAATTTACTCTATCCCATGGCACATACTCTATTACCCTTCACACAGACGCTTGCTCAAGTGTGTGCTTTGATAAATACGGATGATTGTTATGTACAAGACGACATAGTTTATTACTTTGAATTTGAAATTTAATAGACAGTAATAACAGAACATCAGTGGCGAATCCATGGGGGACCCCTTTTTTGGACGATCAATGCATTTGAATGGGGACATATAGTTGGAACCCCCCCCCCCCCCCCCTTTTTAAAATGGCTGTATCCGCCCCTGAACATGAAGTATAATAAATTAAATAACACATATCTGAGGGGGTGATGGAGCAGATTGTTACCCCTCGAAAAGACATTGTCAACCTTGGCTTCGACTCAGTTGACAATGTTTTCTCGGGGTAACAATCTGCTGTATCACCCTCTCAGCTATGTGCTATTTATATAATGTCAGCTGATAGACAACGTCATGATTTGTTTGAGCTGTTCCAATCCTACTCCCTGGTCGGATGTTATTTATGATCTTTTATGAATGATTTCTCCCACGTCAGATGGTGTAAAATCCTTCGAAAGATATGACTTAATATCTTCGTTGTAAACATATGGATGTATATCTTAGTTGTTAACATGTATGCATAAATGGCGAAACCGTGGTAAAATCACTATGAATTCAAGCCCCCTTGAATTATTTCTTAAACAACGAAGATATTAGATGGTATCTATATGTTTACAACGAAGATATTAAGTCATATCTTTCGAAGGACTTTGGCTGACCATTACTAAAAATATGTGTTACAGATAACCATTGATTTGTAAAACTTTAGCCATGATACCGTCCTCTTTTCTGCAATTGTGAGACAATTTTTTTTCTTCTGATTTTCAAATATGTCAGAAGCAATACAACGGATATCTCTAGTGGAGCAGAATCTGCTTATCCTCCAAATGCACTCGGATTACTCTTCATTAGTTTTGTGGATATCATGTTGCTCAGTCTTAAGTTTTCTGTTTAGTGGACTGTTTGTCGTTTTTTTGCTTTTTTTAAACTACTGTAATTTCGATTTCTCTTCGACATAATGGTTCGGCCATCCCCCTCAGATGCACTGGAATCAGAACTTTGGGAAAACCAATGCAATTAAAAAGTAAGAGCATTGCAAATCACAGGTTTGTGCAAGCTATAACAAGTATAACTTTTTTCATGCTATTACAAGTTTTTGTTATGCTATGCTTGTTTCTTTGTTGTAAATCTGAAAATTTATCCATATTTTCTGTATAATATTTTCCTTTATACTCTATGGAAAATTTCTATACGTTTACAAAGGTCTCCATCTACTCGGCTGTAAATATCCGTCCGGTCCTTTTGATGAAATTGTGTCCTCTCTTTTTATTAAAATCCAACAGGTATGATACCAAACGGGATAATGAAAGATCTTAACTTGAAAAAACGACAATTTATGAAAAAATACAAACAACAGGGAGATTATGATTCATTTATTAGATGTAATTGGTTTTGAACAAGCTTTCAGTAACTGTGGGTACTCGTATATCCCGAATGTGATCTACTGAATTAGACTTATCACCGTGTTTGTACTAACATGAGCAACACGACCGCTGGCTACATGTGGAGCAGGATCTGCTTTCCCTTCCGGAGCACCTGAGATCACCACCGGTTTTTTAGTGTGGTACTTGTTGCTCACTCTCTAGTTTTTTATGTTGTGTTTTGTATACAGTTGATTGTCTTTTGGTATTTTTCCTTTAAAGCTCACCTGGCCCGAAGGGCCAAGTGAGCTTTTCTCATCACTTGGCGTCCGTCGTCCGTCGTCTTCGTCGTCGTCCATCGTCGTTAACTTTTACAAAAATCTTCTTTTGAAACTACTGGGCCAAATTTAACCAAACTTGGCCACAATCATCATTGGGGTATCTAGTTTAAAAATGTATCTTGAAAACTAAAATCAATAAAGAGAAATTTTAAATTGCAAAAATGATCAGCAAGACAAGTTATACAAATAAGTCTGAATGTTCGAAATCGTCAGTCAACTCCTTATTAGAGTCATTGCCATTTGATGACGATTTTTACCATTTTTTGGTGTTTTTGCCTAATATCTTAAAAATTATAATAGATAGATAGAAACTTAAATTAGCAAAAATGATCAGCAAGACAAGAGCTACAATAAAGGCGGAATGGAGGAAGTCGTCCAACAACTCCTAATTGGAGTTATTGCCCTTTAATGACAGTTTTCCATTGTCTGTTATTTTTTACAAAAATCATTTCCTCCGACTACCGGGCCAAATTTAACCAAACTTGGCCGCAATCATCATCTGGGTATCTAGTTTAAATAATGTGTCCGTTGACGCCGTCTTCCAACCAAGATGGCCGACATAGCTGAAAATAGAACATAGGGGTAAAATGCTAGTTTTGTCTATTATTTTGAAACTGTTATAAAGAGAAAATCTGACAAGAGCTAAAATGTTCCGAACGTTGAGCTTTACCAATTGTCAAAACTGTTATGGTTGAAATCGACAGTCGACTCTTTATTAGAGTTATTGCCCTTTGATAACGATTTTTACCAATTATTTCGATGTTGCCTTATATTTTTTATAGTAGACTGTCACTCTTTTTATGAGTGATTGCCCTTAAATGAGGATTAATTTTACCCTCTTTTGTGTTTTGAGCAAAAACCAAAGAAGATCGATAGAGAGAAACTAAACAGACTAAATGATCAGATATATGGGATGGAAGCACTAATTGAAATGTGGCAGAACATCAATATATCTAAAAGTATAAATTTAAGAACTTTGGCAGATACTTTATCTTTTAGTCTTTGAGAAGGTTTTGTATAAATTCTGCTTCATGTAAGTACAGAAACAAGTTGGCTAATAGTGGTGCACAGTTAGTACTCATTCAAATACCGAAACCAACTGCAATATAATCCATCAAACTCTACGAATATGTTGTCGATAAAAAATGAGGCTTTTGATTTTCTTGTTTGAGATGTTTCACATTTTGGCATGCAGGGGCTTTTTATAGCCGACTATACTGTAAGGGTTTTGATAATTTTTTACCGTATGGTGACCTATAGTTGCTTGATATCCACACCATTTATACTCTGGTGGATAGTTGTCTCATTTTAACAATCGTACCTCATATAAATATTCAATATACAGTCTCAAACAATTAACATATATGGGGTCAGTAAATTCCATATGGGGATTAGCTCGAATCCCTCTATGGAATTAACTGACCCCATATATAATGTATTAGGTCACTAGCACACTATGTAACAAATAATATCTTTATTTTTTGAGCCACTTTCAAAGAGGGCTTAGATGTCTTTTGTTATTTTTGTTGTTCAGTTGCCATCTCCTTTTATCTATATACAATAACAGAACACTTTTGATATATAATGATTTAATATATTGCAGTTTGAAATCCATACAACTGTATTTACAAATGACAAACTTGTCTGCATAATTTGTTTTAAATGACAATAAAGATTATTATTTATATGATATTCTATTTTGATCCTTTTGTTTATAACAGTATTGTTAAATTTTACTAGACAAAATGTGATGTGTTTTATGGACAATGAAATATAAAATGTTCATTAAAAAGTGGGGTTATATAATCTCCATGGAAATGAAACTTGCAAATGCCAATACATTTGTATACCGAATATCATTGACTTAACATTAGTGGTTCATCTTAAACTGACCTAATCACAAACTAATACATGTAAACTAAGCAAAAGTTTTAAAGTCAATAGACCATGACTGAGAAGTAAGGACCAAATATTCTCCATGGAAATAAGATGTGCTTATGCTTCAACAACTGCATACCAATTATCATTGACCTACCACTAACGGTTCCCCTTAAACTGACCTAATCACAAACTAATACATGTAAACTAAGCAAAAGTTTTAAAGTCAATAGACCATGACTGAGAGGGCGGGGCCAAATAATCTCCATGGAAATGAGATATGCCAATGCTTATACAACTGCATACCAAATATCATTGACCTACCACTAGTGGTTCCCCATAAACTGACCTAATCACAAACTAATACATGTAAACTAAGCAAAGTTTCAAAGTCAATAGACCTTGACTGAGGGGGTGGGGCCAAATAATCTTCATGGTAATGAGATGTGCCAATGCTAATACAACTGCATACCAAATATCATTGACCTACCACTAGTGGTTCTCCATAAACTGACCTAATCACAAACTAATACATGTAAACTAAGCAAAGTTTCAAAGTCAATAGACCTTGACTGAGGGGGTGGGGCCAAATAATCTCCATGGTAATGAGATGTGCCAATGCTAATACAACTGCATACCAAATATCATTGACCTACCACTAGTGGTTCACCATGAACTAGACCTAATCACAAACTAATACATTGTTGACGCCGCCGCCGCCGCCGGAAACAGCATACCTATATCTCGCTTTTTGACTCCGTCAAGGCGAGACAATAAAATGATGAATGTTGGTGTTTTGTAGGGGTCTTATACCAACTCAATTTTCAAACAGAAACAGACTTTGCATAGAGATTTTTTCAACCCGAAATGGGATACCAGATTTATTGATATTCCTTTGCATAAGGTCGATTTCTATCCGATGCAGCTCAAATATGAATCTACTAATAAAAATAAAGTAAACATACAATCTATTACAACAAACAAATGTTAAAATTAAAACAAGAACAGCACATCATATTTACAAAACAACATACTTTGTCACTTGAAGTCCACAACAGTTTGATTTAGTTTGTTTACTTATCTCTAATAGGCTATTCAAGAAAGTAATGATGGTTTCATTTAATGAAATGCAAAAATTTGTCATCCCCTATCCCATGAAACTTTAATAAACAATTTCCCTTTTTAAATATTTGTTTACGTAAAGTGACCTCTCATCATCCATAAATAATTCAGTTTTGAGTCTTGTATGGAACTCTACCCTCACAGTGGTGGATCCAGGGGGTGTTCTTGGGGTTGGAACTCCCCTTTTTGTTTGACAACTGGGGACATATTATTGGAACCCCCCCTTTTTAAAAATGGCTAGATTCACGCCTGCCTCACAAATTATCCTTAAATACCTTTTATCAGGACTGGTCCATTTTGTGACTGATTTCCCATTGAGTAGACAATTAATGGTAAAAATCTACGGTAATTATGTTTTAAGTAACATTATGCATGTTATGTTTGCACTGACAAATGTTGTCAAAATTTAAACAACATGTGATAAACTGTGAAACTCAGGTCAGGAGATTGGGAAATTTTAGTCAGGAGTTTAGACATATTTTTTGGTCGTGTATATGTAACCATATGATGTAAAAAATACTGCAAAGAACAATGAACTCAAAATATTCAGAGTTAAATACTTCAATTTCAGAAGATAGATCTCCATAAGGGAAACAACTCTCAAAAATAACTTTCTTTATGCCAACCATTTTTTATAAATATATTCTTTGCATTTAAGAATCACAGATTACTTTAATTCTGTTTTACAAAAAGTTTTAAAAACTTGAATGAAATCAAATCAGCAATTTTTTCATTTGTAAAGGGACATAACTCTAGAATGGTAAAAGAGATGCCACAAAAATTCAAACTTGATCTGTGTTTGATGGTAATAAGCATTGTGTATAAGTTTCATAACATTTGGTTGAGGCAAACTAAAGTTAGAGAACCGAAGCCAATGTTAGGACATGCGTACGGACATGGTTAACACTTAATACCCCTTCGGGGTAAAAGGTTGAAACTTGTGTGCAAAAATGAAGAAAAAAAAATTTTGGCTACCTATTCATAATTTTTTTAGTTGGTACCAATATTAAAAAGAAAATATAATCAATACAACTAATACAATTATCATATGAGCTGCCTCGGATAGAAATCGACCTTATGTGCAAGTACACTGTACACATATACATGTATATGTATAAGACTTTGATTGATTTTGGAACATTCAAATACGAAATAAAAGATGAATTTTGGTTTGTTTTACAGGGTTCTTATATCAACTCAATTTTCAAACAATTACAGACTTTGCATAGAGATTTTTTCAACCTGAAATAGTTTAACAGATGAATTGATATTCATTTGCATAAGGTCTATTTCTATCTGACACAGCTCATATTTTTTAAACAGATCATCTAGCTACTGTGCAGTTCAATTTGAATTCCAGCTAGAGCTAATGGTACAATGATTGTAATCAAACAGTAGTCTGGTATACATATGAATATAATCTGAAGATGAAAAACCTTGTTTCCAGTAACATAACTTTTGGTTTACTACAGTTCCATCCGAGCGATTTTATATTCTACAAGTGTTATCTCTTAAAACATACAGTACTTGATACAATTACAATGGATTCATTTTTATTCATGATGTACAAATTTTCGTTGATTATTGTGGGTAAAGGACAATCAGGATTTTAAATATTCAACACAGTACAATTTTCTAAAGGCTTCTAAACAGACTTTGGCAAATCCAGGAAATCAAATATACACAAAATTCAAATTTTCATCAATCCACGAAAATTGGTATCCACCAAAAATAAATGAATCCACATTAAAGCAAAATTCATCACTTGCAAAAAAAACTGATTTACACATGTTAGTGGTCTTTGGTAATGATTTTAGAAGAATTAAAAATTTTTGTGGCCTTTTGCACATTATTTCTTTACAAATGTGTTTCTAAATGTTTCAATAAACTGTTTCTAGTCATTCCAACAAATGGACATATACCACATTTGAAAACTCTCTGTTTGTCACTGCTATGTTGATGTTTATCATAATCAGCCTTCGACTTGGATACTTCTCCACATATATCACAACTATATGCAGGTGCTGCCATGTGTGTAATGATATGTTGAACTAATGTGTTGTTAGAACTGAAAAAACATTTACAATATCCACATTGAAATTCCTCAACAACCTTACAAGTTTTTACATGGTTGTCAAGAGCACTTTGACCAGTAAATTTTTCACCGCAATTGTCACAGGGTAGGTTAATTACTTTTGGAATTACATCTGGAAGAACAGTTGAAACAACAGGAACATTTGGGAGAACAGCTGGAACATGAGTAAGAACAGCTTGATTCTCAGGCACATCTGGAGTAACATCAGATGTAAAAGTATGTTCATTAAGGTGTTCAAGAAGTTCCTCTTCTTCTCCAAACTGCTTTTGGCAAATGCCACATTGAAACTGAGCTGTATGCGCGTTCATATGATCAGTCAATTTCTTTTCTGATAAAAATATCTTTTCGCATAGTCCACACTTGTATTCCACATTATCATGACAATCTTTTACATGGGTGGTCAATTCTTTTTCTGTTTTAAATGGAATTTTACAATGTCCACACATGAAACTCATCCCTTTGTTATGCTCCATTTTCCAATGATTCGACAATTGTTTACTAGAATTGAATGATTTATCGCAATCTTTACAATCAAACTTTTCTGGCTCATGTTTTTTCATGTGATTAACCAATTCAGGGAATGTCTTGAAGGTATTCTGACATATGTCGCATTTAACTGTTGCGTTAGGATGATCTGTGTCTTTGTGTTCTTTAAAAAGTCTCTCTGACGGAAAACACTTCCCGCAAATACTGCATTGTTGACAATTTTTTCCGTAATGTACCTTCATGTGTTCATTCAAAATGTCTTCCGATACAAACTTTTTAAAACAAATTTTACATTTCTGGTACATGTGTACTTCTTTATGGTTTAATAATTCTTTCAAGCTATCAAATTTCTTGGAGCAGATGGAACAAACAATGTCTTTTCTCTCTTCGTGAACTTGTAAATGCTTTTGTAATTCTGATTCAGTTTTGAATATTTGCATGCAGACGTCACATGTATTTTGTTTCGAAACACATTCCGTTTCCAAATGGTTTTCATATTCCAAAGATGAGAAAAATACGACATGACACTTTATACACTTTTTACTGTAGATGTTATGTACTTTTTCCCGATGTTCTTCAAGACCGCCAAATTTAGTGTAGCTTTTAAAACAGATGTCACATTTGTGTTTCTCTTGGCCTTTGTGTGTCTGAACATGCTCTTCCAACTCAGATGATGATTGAAAACTGAGGTAGCAAACAGTACATTTCAAAGACTCAGGAATGTTATGGAATGTCTTATGTTCAACAAGTTCACTGTCATTTGGAAATATCTTATGACATATGTCACACTTTGACACCTTATCATCATGAACTTTAATATGATTTAGTAAATCTTCTTTCTTGGTGAATAAGCCGCTACACTTTGTACAAGGGAAGATACTTTTTCCTGCTAATTCTGGTGTGACGAGGCTCATATGCGTCTTCATGTGATTTTCATATTCCTCTTCCTTTGCAAAAATTTTGGAACATTTAATGCAAGGAAACCTAGCATTATTTGGAATTTTGTCCTTTTCTGTGGTTGAGAGGTCAAGGTTATTTGATACAGGTTCATTTTCATCCTCATCTTTAATCTGCATAGAAGATTTTGTGTGGTTATTTGAGTTATTTCCCTTTGTATGAGATTTTTCGTGATTCTCTAACTCTTTCTTTGATTTGAAGTATTTATCACATATACTGCACTGAAGATTGCTGTGTTTTTTCATATGCTGTGCTAGCAAACGTGAAGCGGTGAAAACCTCATTGCAGACGACACATTTGTGTTCCTGATGGGACTTTTCTCCTTTTTTTATGTCATCTGTGATTTTGGTTGTTCCTTCCTTTTTGTCACTTACATGACTTATTGCCAATTTTTCTCTCCTTATTTCAGATTCTACTGTTTCAATCTTTCCTTTTTGTTCTCTAATTTTTGTTTCTGTCTTTCCTTTTTGTTCTCTTATTTTTGTTTCTGTCTCTCCCTTTTGTTCTCTTGTTTTTATTTTCACTGTTTCTGCCTTTCCTTTTTCTTCTCTTGTTTTTGTTTCTTTTATTTCTGTCTTTCCTTTTTGTTCTCTTATTTTTGTTTCTATTGTTTCTGTTTTTCCTTTTTGTTCTCTTGTTTTTGTTTCTACTGTTTCTGTCTTTCCGTTTCCTTCTCTTTTATTTGTTTCAACTGTTTCTGTGTTTCCTTTTTCTTCACCACTTTTTTTTCTTTCCTCTTTGTGCGATTCGATATGTTTGATCAAAAAAGACGTTGTATCAAAAGATTGAGTACAAAGTTTACATCCAAATCTTTTACGGCCCAGTTTGGTATTATGTACACTGATCATGTGCTTTTCTAATGCTGATTTAGAGCTATGGATTTCTTTACAAAGTTTACATTTCATTGTCAATTCTATAGTTTTTGAAGCATCACTCAAGTTTTTATTCAATTTTTTAGATGAATCATTTAGTTTTTCTTCCTTTCTATGTTCTTTCTTTTTTATCTCAACAGATATCATTTTAGTCTCATGTTTTTTCAAGGAATCTTTCTTTTCGTCACAGTTTTCAGTTTTGTCATCATGCTTTGACTTTTTACTGGCAATGCTTTCATCTTCATCTGCTTTCCTCTTTAGACTTTTTGATGATTTTATATGTTTGTCATCCTTTCCCTTTTTGGACCCACTTTTATCAGGAAAATTCTTGTTCTTTTCAGAATTTTCTCCTTTGACTTCTTTGTGCTTTTCTGAATTTCCATGTTTATGCTTATCTGATTGTCCATGTTTAGATTTTTCTGAATATTCATGTTTATGCTTTTCTGAATTTCCATGTTTATGCTTTTCTGATTGTCCGAGTTTAGGTTTTTCTGAACTTCCATGCTTATGCTTTTCTGAATGAGGATGTTTAGGTTTTTCTGAATGTTTATGTTTGTCTGAATATTCCCGACTGTCATTTTCATGTTTTCTGTCCTGTTTTCTATTTCCATCTGTAGAAGATTTTATATGTCGACTCTCATTATCTGATCTTTCTTTTTCTTTATTCTCTACTGAAATTTTTGTCTGTTTACTTTCAATTTCAGATTCTTCCTTATGTTTAGGATGAGATTTCTCCTTTCTCCTTTCATTTTCAATTTCAATCTTTTTGGTCACTTCGTTGTTAATCTCTTTATCAGTCTCATTTGCCTTAAGATTTTTATCCAACCTTGATAAATTAAGCTTCAAAACTTTGGCTTTGTGATCAATAACAAATTTGGACTTTTTGTGATCTTTTACTACATCCTTGTCTTGTCTTTTCATGCATTTTGGACCAATTTTTGGTTTCTTTGCAATGTTTTCTAAATCAGAAACGCCTCCACTTCTCTTCAAATCATGTTCACTTTTGCTCATAATTTCCTTTCCAGACGCTGCATTTTTCTGTAAATTAATCATTTTAGACTGAATGTCTATATCAGTGTCCATAACTACAAAACAGTCTTTTATTTTATAGTTTTTTTTCATTTGAGGAGATAATGCTAAAGAGTTATCTCCCTTTTTATTTGGAGATTTACTTCCCTTGTTTTCTTCTGTCAGTCGTAGGCCAACAATTGTTTGAGGTTTAGCTGACAATGAAGGCTGTTGAGAAGCATTGTTCTTTGAAGGACTGACTGAATGAGATTTTCTATTTGTGAAATGAACAAGAGATTCAATATCATCCATCCCAAAATAAGCCTCTTCCTCCAGTTGCCTCCCCTGTATTTCTTCTTTCACAATATTGGTATAACCATCTCCTAGTTGTCTCCCATGGTTTTCTCTATTTACAAAATTCACAATGCCATCTTCAAGCTGCCTTCCTTGGTCTTCTACTTTCACAATACTTGTATGACTATCTGCCAGTAGTCTCCCCTCGTCTTTTCTATTGACAACATTGACAACACTATCAATATCAAATTCACTGAAATTTCCCCACTGGTCCCTATTTTCTAAACCTTTCTGCATTGCAATTTCCATCAAACCTTTGATAGGTGAACTGTAAGGCTCCTTTTTAATGTTCACAACTGTTTCTTTTTGAACTGATGAACCAGTTTGGGATCCAGTTATTTCTGTCATTATAATTTCTGTCTCAATATCTCGGTAGGACCTATTGAACTTCCTTGGACAAATGTCAGAGTTTCTATTAATAGTGTGGACCAAGGAGTCAATGTCGAAGATGTCAGGATGTTCTGTCTTGATTTGGGATGGATCAATCGGCATGGTTACTGATTCATCTTCTTTTTTCCTTTCCTCCATTCTTTTACTTTTTTTATAAATATATTCAGAGTTTTTGTTTACATATGATTTTTCCATGGGAAATGTCGGAGTCATGTTACCAGTGACTGAGCTTGTTTCACTGTCCAAATCATCTTCAGAGAGAAATTCTGTGTCATCACCTGAAAAAATAGAATAAAAATACATAAATTATTGTTTGCATATCAATTAATTTAATTAATTATATTTCAACTTACATCTCACAATATAGTACTCCATTTTCAAAGTCTTTATTTCATTCGTCCACATTGCCAAACAAAAATTGTGAAAAAGTTGTACTGTAAGCAATGTTTCTTAATCATTGGTTTGAAATCGCTGGTTTACATCAAACATCAAAATTTATGCAAATATTTATTCAGCCTCACTTTAGATTCAGAGTCAACTGGCACTGAATCGATCAAGTGGTATTTGTTCCCCACCTGGCCCTTGCGACGTGCAGCTAGATCGGGCTGGGATGCCAGGCTATGTATTGTATTAACACTGTCCTACATTCTGTCAATAATTACATTTTGGCATTGGACAAGATGGTATTTTTTCTTGACTGTTACTGATTGATATTTAAGTCTTTGATACAAGAATTTTTTTATTAATTGTAATTGCCTTTGAACTAGCTTTCAGTAACTGTAATCTGTACTTCATGTTCAGGGTTTAAACTCACAAACTTAGAGTTGATAGCTAGCCATCACTGTAGATGAGTTACTTAAAAACTGTAAATTCAGAAATTATTGAGTGTATTTATTATTGCGATTTTGTCATTTGAGCCTTAAATGCAATTTTAATTTTTACGATTTTGAGAAAAATCCTGTTTACTACACATAAAAAAAATTTCAAAATGCGAGTTTAAATTATTGCGTTTACAACTATGTCGCATTTTTCGCAATAATAAAAACCTCCCAATAATTTCTGAATTTACAGTAAACTGCTAATCCAATCCAAAAGATAAATTTTAGGTCACGGTGACAAAGTTTTTAAGTAACTCATCTACAGTGATGGCTAGCTATCAACTCTAAGTTTGTGAGTTTAAACCCTGAACATGAAGTACAGATTACAGTTACTGAAAGCTAGTTCAAAGGCAATTACAATTAATAAAAAATTCTTGTATCAAAGACTTAAATATAAATCAGTACACATCCAACACACAATGGATTTAGTGTAAAGAGCTCAGTAACAGTCAAGAAAAAATACCATCTTGTCCAATGCCAAAATGTAATTATTGACAGAATGTAGGAAAGTGTTAATACAATACATAACACACAACTAAAACAAATCATTATTGTCACCCATGACTGGTGCCACTAGTTGAACATGAGGATCTGCTACCCATTCACAAGCACCTGAGATACACCCCCCATCCCCCTGATTTTATCAGGTTTGTGGTGTTTGCTCAGTCTCAGTTTTTACATATTATGTAGTGTTGAGAAGATATTTCTTTTTTGCCATTGTGTGAGTTTTTAATAACTTATGAGTTTTGAATGTTTTTTTGCTATTTTCCATGTTTGAACCTAAAACAAAATATGAATATGCTAGCCTTTCATCCTTCAGAAATGAACAGCAGTATGGGTTTTGCTCATTGTTAAAGGCTGTATGGTGACCTATAGTCGTTAATTTCTGTGTCATTTGGTCTCTTGTGGAGAGTTGTCTCATTGGCAATCACACCACATCTTCTTTTTTATATTCAAGTCTACAAAATGTGTGCACACAAGGCCAAAAATTAAAACTTACATTTTCTTTGTGATATTTTTAGAATACAAAAATACTCTCTAACTAAAATAATCATCCTGAAGGATTGACTTTTTTTACCAATTATGTGAAAACTTTCAACAATTGGCTTTAATTTAACAATTTATCCAATATTCTTGTAAAAACATGTTAAATAAATATTATAATCTTAATTTTAATTAAGAAACTATTTTCAACAATGTTCAATTAGCATGATTAGTAAAAAATTGTGGGATAATACATTTAGTATTAAAAACATTTTAACCGGATTAAAGGATTTGTAAAACATTCTAAATAGTTATTTTGGAAATTCCAAAAATATTCTACAATTAGTTGCCCAGTTAGGGAGCTACCATTTGATTTTTATGGGGGGGGGGGGGGGGGGGGGGCTAGGATGAAAAATTTTGTCCTGCTTTTTTATTTTTCCCTTTATTCGGTCCTGCCTTTTTATTTTTCACTATATTTGGTCCTGCCTTTTTTTTTGTGGTTTATCCTGACTTTTTTTTTAACATAAATTGTCATCCTGCCTAATTTTTTTCTTCAAATAATCTCATCCTGCCATTTTTTTTACTCAAAACTCCTGTCCTGCCTATTTTTTTCAAATTTCATCCTAGCCCCCCCCCCCCCCCCCCCCCCCCCATAAAAATCAAATGGTAGCTCCCTTAGTTATCAGTTGTAGAATGTATATATACACTGAGTAAAAAAAGTTCAGCAACAAATACATTTAATGCTACATTTTTCATTTTGAAAATAAAGTATACTTTTAAACAAAACCAAGGAACTGTATGTTTATATATACAATTCCTTGACAAAACACAAACTAAATTATTGTAACATAGAAAACAACAATAAGTTGCAGGTTTTTCTCCACAAAAATTCCATTTCATGATTGAAACTTTGGAAGTTTAAATAAAAAAAATGTTGCAGAACTATTTTTCTCAGTATAGTTACCTTTTGTTTTATTTTTAAGCCATCAAAATTGAAATTTTTACTTTAAATAAATTAATTTGTCAGCTAGTCTATAATTATATAAAAATTATACAATTTTACCTTAAAGAAAAGATTTTCATACCACTAAATGCCACATCTTTTTATATTTATATTAATAATTAAATAAACAGCATTAGTATTTATCATACATTTTGAGAACTTTATACTCTAATTTATTAATTAGCATTTAGTAATACTTGTCAAATTTTAAGCTCTTTACAATAATGCAATTACCAGATGGATGATATAATTATAGTCAAAATGTTAAGATTTAGCATATCTTAAAAGATTAACCATTATGTTACTTTAATTGAGGAACAGTCTTAAGAATGTTGTATAAAAATATACATTAATCCTTTAAGAATATAATTATTCTAAACAATATCAACTGAATTAATTAGCACACCTATCGGATTATTAACATGTAATTTATTGTTCTTCAAAATATTTTTGTTTAAAAATTAGGACAAGCAAGTAAAATTTTTAGCAAATATTTAATATTTTCTTTGAAATTAGGATTGTGTATAAAAAATTACCATTTTAACTAAAATTTCAGATTTTCTTAAAAATAAACAGATCATTACAAAATAAATGGAGAATGTGTCCATAATACACAGATGATTCTTCAAAAGTGCATAAAACACTATAAAGGGACATAACTAGAGAACTTTTAAATTGACGGCACTCAAATTCTAACTTGAACTGACTATTGTGGTAATAACTATTCTGCTTCCTTTATAACATTTGGTTGAGGAAATCTGAAGTTAGAGAACAGAAACACATCCCCTGTCTATATAGTGTAGAAATAATATCTGAGGTATGAACCGAATCATATAACTTCAGGATGTTCTTAGGTGAAATTAAACAAGAGTGCACACGCTGAAATGTCTCGCCTTCTTTACTAACCATTGATATTATGTTGATAGTCCTAAATAGAAAGCTTTACTACAAATCTTACAACATGATCGAAGAAAATGAGGTCATGGTCATATAAACCAAACAAGAAATACATGTACACCTTACAATCATTCAATACACTAAATATAGTTGACCTTATCGCTTATAGTTTCTAAGAAAAAGACTAAACCAAGAAAACTAAACATTGACAAATGAACCATGAAAATGAGGTAAAGGTCAGATGAACCATGCCAGGCGGACATGTACAGCTTACAATCTTTCCATACAACAAATATAGTTGACCTATTGCTTATAGTTTAAGAAAAACAGACCAAAATACATAAACTTAACACTGAGCAATGAACTGTGAAAATGAGGTTAAGGTCAAATAAAACCTGTGAGACTGACATGTACATCATAAATTTTTTCCATACACCAAATATAGTTGAACTATTGCATATAGTATTAGAAAAAAAGACTAAACTCAAAAACTCAACTTTGACCACTGAACCATGAAAATGAGGTCAAGGTCAGATGACACCTGCCAGTTGGACATGTACACCTTACAATCATTCCATACACCAAATGTAGTAGACCTATTGCATACAGTATAAGAAAAACAGACCAAAACACAAAAACTTAACTATAACCACTGAACCATGAAAATGAGGTCAAGGTCAGATGACACCTGCCAGTTGGACATATACACCTTACAATTCTTCCATACAACAAATATACTAGACCTATTGCTTATAGTATCTGAGATATGGACTTGACCACCAAAACTTAACCTTGTTCACTGATCCATGAAATGAGGTCGAGGTCAAGTGGAAACTGTGTGACGGGCACAAGGACCTTGCAAGGTACGCACATACCAAATATAGTTATCCTATTACTCATAATAAGAGAGAAATAAACATTACAAAAAATATAAACTTTTTTTTCAAGTAGTCACTGAACCATGAAAATGAGGTCAAGGACAATGGACATGTGACAGATGGACACTTCGTAAAAAAATTCATCTATATACAAAGAACGAAGCATCCAGGTCTTCCACCTTCTAAAATATAAAGCTTTTAAGAAGTTACCTAACGCTGCCGGATCAATATCCCTAAAGGCTATGTCGAGCTTTATGCAACAAAAGTTGCAGGCTCGACAAAAAAATCAAGAAATTAAAATTGATACTATAAGTCGGAAAAGCATAAGTTAAGGAACAAAATAAGCTATAAACATTGATAGGTTATGGAGCTCCATTTCAAAGTATTAGATTTCAAAATAAATGGGGAATGTGTCCATGGGACACAGATGATGCCCCCCGCTAACATATCATAAAGTTATAAAGGGACATAACTGAAGAACGGTAAAAGTGACGCTAACAAAATTTGTTATTGATCTGAGTTTTGTAGTATTAAGTATGACGATAAGTTTCATAACATTTGGTTGAGGTAAACTTAGGTTAGAGAACGGAAACAAAAAATTCAGCAATTTTTCCTTTTGTAAAGTGGCATAATTCTAG